ATTTGATAAAGTCAACTAGAGAATCGAGATGACCCTTTTCTTGGAAAACTACATACAATGACTTTTGAAGTGGTTTGGTTGGATTTCTTTCATACTTTTACCCAGTTGGGATAATGTTAAATAATTGCTTTAGCCGAGCAAGCCTTTCAGTGTGGACATGTAATTGCAAGCAACAGCATGCTCATTTCTCTGTCATCTTGCAACGTTCGTGCAAGAGGATGCGTGTGCAGATGTGTCCCTACATTCCAAAGAGGCAGGCATTAGAAGATCAGCAGCTGCTTGTTAAATTGAAGAACACTGCAGCAAAGCCTTATTTTAAATTGTTCACTGATAATACAGCCTAAAGACAAAAAGCTATATCGGCCAATCATTCTGTTCTACCATGTAAGAGCAGCACACGTCTCCCGAGGCACAGTGGAAAAAAATATATTAACAAAAAGACTGGAGTCATTTTCAGACACATCCTGAATATTTGATTCATACAAAAATGAAGATCTTATGCATTTCTGTATGATGCTTGCCATTGTGAGTCTCTAACAAAACCCATAAATTAACTCTGAAGTCTCCAGTTCCGATTTGCGAAGACATAATGAAAAAGCAATCTTGATGCACAAGTGCAGCCTTGAAAATGAGACCAAGTGGAATCTGATCTAATAATATTAGATACATTATTGAGCTAAGCTTGGGTTTCTACAGCAAAAAAATAAATACAAAATAAAGAGGCAGTGGTAAACAAAGCATCAAATATAACCTTAAAATGTTTCCAGTTAACACACTTTAAAATAAACACCCATATAAGCTAAGCACCCTTATGGTGTATATGTTGTACTGGAACATAAACTATTTTGCTAACAAGAACAGGCATTGAGAATCTAAACAAAAAATAACGGACAAAGAAGCAACCACAGCACAATTGCAATAATAAAATAGCTTCAAAGGAACTCAAAAATCACAGGGACAAATTGGGAATTGAAGACAGTCTAGAAAAGTAAAGATCATGTGGGTGGCAGAGCAGGCAATAGAAAAGAAATGATATAAACAAAGATGACAGGCGTAAATATAAGGTATGTCACATAAAAGAAAATATGGTCAATGGTAATATATCAAAAGGAAGACCCACAACATATAAGCATATAAACTGGGTAGCAATGAATATATTTAGTAGAAGATAAAAAAATATCTAGAGGAACAAAAAGGAAATTAGAATTTGAAAACAAAGGAAGATAAAGCATTTGTATGTTATAGGCAATTAAACAATATGTCTTTTATTCCAGGAGAACGAGGTGTATCCATATGTCATAAAGAATGTCAAACCTCGAGGTTTATTCAAAGACAGAGCAAAAATGAAACACGTAAGGATGGAGCAAAAATGGCCAATGCCAAGTGAAGTAAGAATGGAGTGTGCCAATATGGAGCAAGAGTCCAGCAATCTACAGTAGGTAGGCACCAAAAAAACAAACAAACAGACAAAGGGAAACAAGGTCAAAACAATGTTTCCACATCAAGGTAAAAGCAATGTCAGTTTTGATAGAGTCCGATATTCTGGCAAAATGTTGGCTTGTGTTTGGGTTGCAAACAATGTGATTCTTGACATAAAAAAGGACTACTGGATGTTTCAAGTATTACATTGATTGCTGATATTGGTATGGTAAGTCCAGAGTCCTGTGCATCCTTGGATATAATTTACTAAGGTGGGTGCTTTCCCATTTTTAATACAAAATAATAGTGGAAACAAGAGCACAACCATGCCAATGCCAATGTCCAATAAACATGTTCACTTGAGGCAACTCATTCCTTTGCCACCCAAAACTCTTAGAAACTCAATGCAACCTATACCTTACCTACCTACGGGGGTACAATCTTATCAGTGTAGATATTATATGTCAGCATTTAAGCGAAAGAGAATACCCTATTACACTTGCAATCTAATAAACCAAATAGGTTAAGCATTGCTCAGGAACAAATAATGTTTCTAACATCCTGGAACAAGACAAGAAATATTTGCATTCCTCCACACAGTGTGAAATGAGTTGGGGAAGGAAAAAAAGGAAGACGAGGTCTTTGCTTTATCAATACTTTCTCAGTAGGCTGAAAAATTCAGCATGACCTTCAAACGGCCAGTCTCTGCTGAAATCTTTTGCCACACTCTCCGAGAATGCAATTTGCCACATTCTACAAAATAGTGTCTTAATTTTTTTATGATTATTTTGGATCTGTACCACTAATCAAAAATCTAAAAAGTAATCAACAGTTATTAAAATATCTATGCCAACCCAGATGTATATTTCCGTATTAACCTTTATCAAGGTCTTTCAATGGAGCGTTTCTTAATTTTGTCTTTCCAAGACTGATAGTAGGTATAGAAATTGAAGGATAGACTGTGATAAATTGAACTTGTGCATTGTTTTATTAGATTGTCATATTGTTTTAGTTTGGATCAGCCTTATAATATGACATCTCTCATTTTGAATTGTCCATTCTTTTTCTGTCTGTATTGATTTTCACCATTTATTAGGAAGGGCAAATATTGACATTGAACCCTATTTGTAGTTTCTATATATTGGTCCACTCCTTCAATTTTGTAAGTAGACAGCTTTTTGTCTGGGCAATAGCAGATGGTGAATTTGTATTTCTTAAGATTTAGCAACATAGGTTATTAAATTATTCTTATACAATACACGATCTTATGACTTAAGTTCAGTAAAATTGGTAAACTCTGTATAGATATGCTGTATCATTTTATACCATCAATTCAGCTAAACGTTTCTTCTTAGTTTAAGTATAACCACATTCTATTTACACATCACTTGGATTTTAAATGCAACATAGATCTTTTCCTGTATGACTGTTGCCCCCAGGCATTTTATCACATTTTAAAACAAGGTCATATTTTGAGTTATAATATTTCAAGATAGTGGTTTATACAGCAGATGTCTATGTGGGTTAAAATATTCATTGCTGTAACTTAACAATAGATGTTCAATGAAAAATAGGTGAATTAGGGAACTTTTAGCCACCAAAACTGGGCAATAGTTGACTCAAACAGAGCCCTGAGACATAAAGGGCTAGATTACAAACTATCGTTTCATATTTATGGCAAAGTTACTGTTGCTGCTCAGCCCTTTACAATGTCAGAACAAACCCAATGCCACCACTCCAACAGGGCCGGACTGTGAGTGTCTGCTGTTGTGAGCATGTGCATTTTAGTGAGCTTGTCTGCAGTAAGCATGTATGTGTCTGTCAGTGAGCATGTCTGTAGTAAGCATGTATGTGTGTGTCAGTGAGCATGTCTGTAGTAAGCATGTATGTGTGTGTCAGTGAGCATGTCTGTAGTAAGCATGTATGTGTGTGTCAGTGAGCATGTCTGTAATGAGCATGTATATGTGTCAGTGAGCATGTCTGTAGTAATTATCGATGTGTGTTAGTGAGCACGTCTGTAGTAAGCATGTATGTGTGTGGCAGTGAGCATGTCTGTAGCGAGCATGTATGTGGATCAGTGAGCATGTCTGTAGCGAGCATGTATGTGGATCAGTGAGCAGGTCTGTAGTAAGCATGTATGTGTGTGGCAGTGAGCATGTCTGTAGCAAGCAGTTATGTGGATCAGTGAGCATGTCTGTAGTAATTATCGATGCGTGTTAGTGAGCACATCTGTAGTAAGCATGTATGTGTGTGGCAGTGAGCATGTGTGTAGTGAGCATGTATGTGTTGGTCAGTGAGCATCTCTGTAATGAGCATGTATATGTGTCAGTGAGCATGTCTGTAGTAATCATGTATGCCTGTCAGTGAGCACATCTGTAGTAAGCATGTATGTGTGTGTCAGTGAGCATGTCTGTAGTAAGCATGTATGTGTGTGTCAGTGAGCATGTCTGTAGAAAGCATGTATATGTTGGTCAGTGAGCATGTATGTAATAAGCATGTATGTGTCAGTGAACATGCCTGTAGTAAGCATGTATGTGTGTCAGTGAGCATGTCTGTAGTGAGCATGTACGTGTGTGTCAGTGATCATGTCTATAGTAAGCATGTGCATGTGTCAGTGAGCATGTCTGTAGTGAGCATGTATGTGTTGGTCAGTGAGCATGTTTGTAATGAGCCTGTGCGTGTCAGTGAGCACGTCTGTAGTAAGTATGTATGTGTGTGTCAGTGAGCACGTCTGTAGTGAGCATGTATGTGTGTGTCAGTGAACATGTCTGTAGTAAGCATGCATGTGCATCAGTGAGCATGTCTGTAGTAAGCATGTATGTGTGTGTCAGTGAGCATGTCTGTAGACAGCATGTATGTGTTGGTCAGTGAGCATGTATGTAATAAGCATGTATGTGTCAGTGAGCATGTCTGTAGTAAGCATGTATGTGTGTCAGTGAGCACATCTGTAGTGAGCATGTATGTGTGTGTCAGTGAGCATGTCTGTAGTGAGCATGTATGTGTGTGTCAGTGAGCATGTCTGTAGTAAGCATGTATGTTTCAGAGAGCATGTGTGTAGTAAGCATGTAAGTGTATGTCTGTAGTAAGCATGTATGTGTGTGTGTGTCAGTGAGCATATCTGTAGTCAGCATGTATGTCTGTGTCAGTGAGCATGTCTGTAGTAAGCATGTTTATGTCAGTGAGCTGGTAATGAGCATGTGTGTGTTAGTGAGCTTGTCTGTAGTGAGCATGTGTGTGTCAGTGAGCTTGTCTGTAGTAAGCATCTTTGTGTATACCAGTGAGTTTGTCTGTGTTTGTCAATGATCTTGTGTGTGTCAGTGAGATTGCCTGTCTGTGAGCCTGTGTACCAGTGTGTGCTTGTGTCAATGAGATTGTCTGTGCCTGCATGTGAGTATGCTTAGTTTTACTAATATTTATAATTAAAAAAGGAACATACCAATAATAAAAGCATATATTTATATATCCTTTAGTGAGAATTAAAATATCCCTTTATAACATTTAAAATATGGGTATGTCTTGCAACCCCAGATTGAGTAATTCTAATTCATAAACATAGATTTTATATATATTTTTATTTTATATTTTAAGTCATTGTGCCACGGTAGTGTTTGTGTGTGGGTATGTATGTATGTGTATATATATATATATATATATATACATACACACACACACACACACAAACACTACCGTGACACAGTGATTTTTTTCCAAGGCTGCTTTGCATTCCCAGTCCGGCCCTACACTCCAATACTTTGTAATGGTTCTTTTACCAGTATTGATTTGATGAGAAAAGCGCCTAGAACACTAATACTCACGTTTTAGCAATCACCATCCTTCTGACGGAACATATTGATGGAACAAACAGACATTTACAGACATTTAAGTGAGAATTCAAGGTGAATTTCAAATGTAAGGTCAAAATAGGTAAAGTTGAAAAATTCTCTATGTCAGCTATCTTTCTGATTGGCTGAGGTGGCTTTAAATTTGAATTACACTTTGAATTTATTTTGAATTTTAACTTAAGTAAATAACCCAGTTAGTGAATTCAATTAAAGGACATGAAAAGTTGCTTAAAATGATTTTCTAACATTAAAAACCTCTACCCAAATCAAACTCCACAAACATCTCCCCTGACCTCAGGACACGTACAAACCCAATCCACAAGCCTTAACATTATTAATATAATTAAAGAAAAACGGAACAGAAAAGTGGAAGCGTTTGCAGACATGGTGTAATAAATTGCAGTGTTGTTAATATTTGTCAATAACCTACTTAACAGAACATTTTTTTTTCTTTTTTGCTTAATTTACAGCCAAATCCAGCAAAGACCCAGGGCAACACAACTTCATATATGTACAAGCCCCTGGCTTATTCAGCTTCTTTCTATTACTAACAGAGGAATGCAAGATATCTTTTTTTAGTGGCAATAGATGTGCTGGATTAGTGACTGTTTTAAAGCTCCATTCTCAGTCTTCCACCTTCCCCAGTGAAGGACGTCCGAACCGTGTCTATTCTCTTTGTCTACAATGTGCAGCATCTAATCATATTTGGTATATGTGACGAAACGCCTTTTGTCACCGGATTTTCCCCTGGCTGTTGGAGGAGCCTGATTGCCAGCCTCTTGCCTCATGACTATGGCCCTGGGTTATTTGGCCCTTCAAGTACAATATTTGGGCATATTGGATTTGTATGGTGCTGCTGCTGGCCCTTTAAAAACCATCCCTGGACATATTATGACTTTTAGGAACAATGTCCCTTTAAGACTGTGTAGCAGATTGCATTCAGGCCGTCTGCAATATTATATATGCTATTATGTGTTCGGTAAATTGGAAATGTGTAGGTTCTATGTGATAAATGTAACAGTATGTATTTTTATGTCTTTTGTTGTCCTTTGTCTGCCATGTGGCTAATGGAGTTTTGCCTCTGTCCTTGGAGATAATTGCATTACTTCTCAATTATCTCCAGAATAGAAGACTCTGAAATCAGTTTGGGCCAGATATCCATGCTGCCAGCCAGGCCCCAAAAGATACTTGTGCTAACTTCTGCACCCCTGGTCTGATTCATGCCATTTTTTAATATGTTGTTCCCCTGAATGGATTGATTGTGAATATGTAGTTGTATGTGAATGTGATGTATAGTTTTAGAGTTATGAAAGTTGGGTAAAAAGTGTGTTTTAAAATGTATGGATAATTGGGTTACCTCTCAGGCTAAGGGGAGGAGATGTGTGGGATGTAACCATTGTATGATTGGTTGTACTGTGTCCCACCCAGTGGGATGTCCCCTTGCATGGGGACCTGCATAAAAGAAGGTTCTTTGTGTGCCAATAAACAGATCATCTTGTACCTTCATGAAGTTTTGGCTCATGTTTGGGGGATTGGAGAAACTACACTCTGGGGATTGCTATAATCACTATACTCCCCAGGGTATATTCACTAAGCTCTGCTAAGAGCTTGTTCCGGTTCCTGCTCTCTGGAATTGGGAGAGAGGTCGACCTGCTGGAAGCTGGACCCTGGTCCTGGGTCCAGAGTGGGTGGAGACGGCGAGATCCCAACCAAGCTGCGGCGGTTCGTGGGATCTGCAGTGGTTATGGTGTCAGGCAGAGTGCTTGGAGTCCTTGGAAAGCACTAGGAGCATCCGTTGGCGGAAGGTACCCGGTCGGGGTGCCAGCGGTACCGTTACAGTATAATATTAACATGGCACTTGGCTATCTTGTTTCTCGTTTCCAGAAGGAAGATCATTTCCTTGTTACAATTTTTCATGCTCTGGAAATTAGAAGCGAGTTAAGGCGGTGAGACAGTGTATCTAATGTTAGAGGGTCCATGTGACATGTTGAGAAGTTTGACATTCCAATGCACAGGCTGCTAAACCTGGAGTTGTGGAGATGCAGGCTTGCTGTGTGAATGGGAAAACAGATTATTTTACACATAGATCTTTTGTGCGCTCAAATAAAGAAACAGCTCTTCACATTTTAAACCTTCCACATTCACAGTTAGTTGATCAGAGACATTTACATAGAACTTTGGTGACTGTTGAAACACAGCCATAATTACATGTGACATTAGCATAGTATAAAGATATAAGGCAAGGTCAATAACAGGCTTCTTATCATTTCATGTTAAAAGATCACACAAAGTACCATAACCACTACAGCACACAGCCATAGCACCTGCTTACAGACTTCTCCCGCAGAAGAATCTGGTTAGCTCTGTAGAACTAATTAGGGCCATGCAGGACCACACTCATGGGCTGAAAGCATCAGCTGACCACTGTCAGCCAAGGAGCATGTTCCTGAGTCAGCGTGCTGTATTCTATCTCCTGCAAAAGAAAACTGGATGTATTGCAGGTGCCCAAGGACATCAGCACCTTCCAATCTCATTCGACTCTGCAAGCAACACCAGTGTTTCACCGGTGGTGGTCTGCTTTCAAGCTGACCCCTATTTTTGAGATTATATGCCTTCTGTGGTTTGACGTTTCCCTTCCTCCTGAAGCAGCATCCTTGATTGCGGTGCCCACCTGGCTGAAATCCCATGCAGCATAAAACCATTCTAAATGCAACAAACAGTCGTATATAGGGCAGGCCTGATGTCCAACATAATATAAGCTGTGACCTTCAGCAGGTACAAAATGTAATTATAATATCATACTACTAAGCCCCTTTGGACTTCTCTCCTGTCCAACCTAAGAAGTCCTTTCCAACATTGATGTAAAATAGCTGCTGTAAGCTGATGCTCTATATTCCCCTAGTAACAGTAGGCCAAAGGAACATCACAATTACACGTAGCACTGTAGTTTCTGTGACAGTAAGTAGGAGGGTTCTCCTGCTGTCCTTGCCATTCAACCCAGTTCTCAGCATTGAGGGTGTGCCACCAATCAAGAACTGATTGACAGGTAGCGGAGGGATCTATCTTTATACTTTATGGTAAACTTGCCCGTATAGTGGCAGGTACGCTTTAAGTCATCGAAAATAAGTTGATATCCTGGGTATAGACTTTCATTCATTCTAAGTTTGTATACTCCAAATTAAGCTTTATAATTTTTTACTAACAAGTCTTTCTAAAAATAGAATCATCTTCTTTTGTAGCAGACTTTATATTTTCGCCTTCTCATATCACAAACGTATCATCAGCTTTTGTTTTGGAACCTGGCAGATCCTTCAAAGCTAAACTAAATATCTGCTGAAACACCTCAGGAACCAGACTTATTCCCAGGAGAATTTCAAGTCAACTTGTATCATATGAATGGGTTAGAAAATGCTGTCACATAGCTAACGTTCCCATCTAACTTGCCAAAATCTATTTATACATAGCACACTGATTATGCTTTCGCTTCTGATAATCTGGTAAAATAGCAATTTCAGTTATTGGATAACAGTTTCTTTTCAGAACATCATTACACGTTCTTGGATCTACACAGGTTCCTATTTTTCCAGATGGTTTCTTAACTGTTAATGTCCTGTTTATCTAATCTATGTTCTGTTTCGCTGGTGCAGCAATACCTTTGATCCTTGGGTTTTGGTTTCAAGGATTTCACCATGAACACATGCAATCCTTTTTGTGTAGAAAAGTTGAGTCAATGCCATTATTATATTGCTTATTCTAATTTCGATCTAACTTATTAACACCCAAACCACACTGTCATATGTATCTGAGAATGTTTGTGAATGTGTAACATACAGATCCAAGAGACTCTGGCTGTCATTTTTCTATGGCAGTCTGGTACAGTCCATTATGCAGGGCCAGATTAAGAGCCCAGTGGGCCTGGAGCTGCAGCTCCATCAGCCCCTATGTTAATCCGGCCCTGCCATTATGCTGTAGTAAATGAAGTGTTTGGACTTCTTGTATTCTGTACCACTTCACTGAATCCTTAGTTAATGCTTTTTGTGCATATCTCTAAGTCAAGGGAGGTGTTTGCAATGTTTGTTCTGCTCATGTGAAATATTTGGGGGTATTGGTTGATTGTTAAAAATGTATTCAAGTTATTTGATGTGTTTAATATGTGTTTAATATGTGTTTAATGTTTAATATGTGTCCCATTAAATCAAAGAATACTCTACTAATGCAGGATTGTAATACCCCCCAATACTTGCATTCCCAAGATGCGGGATGCCGGTTTGAGTGGGTATTGAGAGTGGGCCAATGACACAGTCGCTTTATTGGCTCTGGCCAAAGGGGCAGACCTGCCTGGAAAGGGGGCGGGCTTGCCCAAATTACTGGCAGGTCAGCTTGCTACTAATTGCATGCCAGGCTGCCTGCCAATCAAGCAGGTTGGCCCACTGATGGCAAGACTTACAGGGAGCACTGTTTTAGTGCTCTCTGCAGGGCTGTAGTGCCCTGAGTACAGGGTGGACGTGTCTAATGATGCGTTCGTGCTACACTTTTTTAGGCTAGTTTCCTGGTGTCCCCGAAAGCAAGACACCAGGGGATAAAGGTGGGAGAGGACCTGAAAATTGAGACTGACCATCTGAAATCGGAAGAGTTGACAGACATAGGATTTTGGTTTCTGAAAGTTGAATACTTAAAGTGACACTCTAATCTGGATGTCATTTTAGCACAAAGCAGCACAGGTGCGAGACAGTAGTCATTGTCTGAGAGTGCTGTGTTGATGCTCTCAGGAAATGTTTGCGGCCTTGCTTTGTTCAAAACCGATATCTGGCTTCTCCTACTAAAGGCAGATGTCTGCAGAAGACATGACACCAGAGCCTGGCAAG